CACCATGCCCACCACCACCACCTCCAAGACCATGCCCACCTCCTCCTCCAAGACCAGTGTGTCCACCACCCAGACCGTGCCCCGCTCCTGTAAGTTTGTTTTTTATTTATTTCATACCAATATTCTATCCTCAGTTCATTATAATGATATTTAAATAATATCTCTCAAGTAATTACATCCTTCTTGAACTTCTACTGCTTAATTTCATCCATATTCTTCGTGAAGCAGTGGCATTAATTTGCTGAGTTTGTAAAGCTCTCGGTGAAAAAACTTTTGAGAATTGTAATACTCAATAAAAGATCACCATTCGACTGGGTTTCCCTCCATCGTTTTCTAATATCATATGCTAAATAATCACATTTGAGTAATTTCTTTCATTAATTAAAAAAAAAATTCTTCGATATATGACCATATGTACAATTGTACAATTGTTAATTATACTTGATTAGAAAATGTTTATGTGCACAGGAAATGAACATGTTGTTAACATTGCTGGAGTGAAGCAAACAGGTCAAATCAAAGTATGGGAATCAATTAGGTTTTATTAGAAGGGACTCACTTTTAGATACCAATCAAATTGACCAACAAACTTCTCATCACAATTACCCAGCAATATTGATGCCTAAACAGTAATGTAAAGGCAAAACCTGATCCAATCGCTACCACAACAAAACTGAACACATCTGTTGCTTTAATGATAAAGAAACGATTTCAATATTAAGCGTCCATCTTACGATTGCTGCTTCCAATGTATGCCTTCACAATGTGTGCGACGATTCCACCACCACAGAAGAAACAAGCGTTCTGAAGAAGAGGGTACTGCGATTGGAGAAGTTGTGAAAATGTTAGAAGGTGAAGAAATCACATGCAATAGTGAAAAGCTCAAAAATATCATGCTACAAGTGAGTGAATTCAGTTCAGTTGTTTTTACAGCAAAGAGCACGTAATTGCTGCATGAAGTGCAACATTGATTCAGTCTCATATATTTAAGCATGAATTCGCCTCCAGCAACCGCATCAAACGATATTTAATCTAAGGCCAACCAACCCTTACGTTGCCAATTGAGATGAGATGAGATGAGTGACTGGCTGCTTTCAGGAAATAACGAATGACACGTCTGTGGCCAAACGAAACATTCAACGAGCCGCCGAAAAAATACTCAAAGAAGACTTCAACGTGATTTGCGCCGAAGGGCCATTCTCGTATGTTTCACACACGGACACTTATTGTCAGATCACTAAGCCGAGTGTAACTTGTTACGCATTCAAGGCTTATTGAATGCTCGTAGATGGATTACTATTATCATTCGTTTAAGATTTCTTCTGATCTGACCTATGTGCTAATGTTTCGAGTTTATTGCGACTGTAATCATTTCTGCAATTCGAATCTCATACTGTATTCAATTCGTACAATAATTGACCGAACACTTCTAGCTTGTGTCTCCTCACAATTTTATAGTATATGTTAGATTCTGTAGCGTAGTCATGCCTTTTTTAAACACTGCCCTCTTCAGTTCTGTTCACTGTAATAAAACAATTCCCAATGACTGACGTGATGCATGATGATCCACGACGAATGCTTTTAATCCAGACCATTCCACAAACACTCTTCAAAGACTCACACACATACACTCACACACACACACACACACAAATATCATATCATTTTGAGCTCACAGTTTGCATCATAACTAATCAAACTAATCGACTGTCGAATTGAATTTTCACAAGTTTGTTGGTGATATCGAAAGACATTCAGATGTTAATTTCCTGTTCACTGCAAAAGATTGAGCACATTTCCACAGCTTTCAGACCAGTGATTACAATTTTTCCGCAACTGCAAGTTTTGATCGATGCGAATTACAAAGCAGTCTAATCGTAAGGAATGAACGCATGAATGAATAAATGTCTCAAGTTGCAGTGGCATGAATTGCATACGAAGCAGAATTTCGTTTGATTGTTCTGCTGCAATAATCGAATTGCATGTAATCAATGCAGCGTATTTTGTATAAAAGGCATTATGAATTTTTGTTTGAATATTCATTCGTTTTACAAACACTTTTGACAATAGTCAACAATTCGAATGAACATGTTTTATTGATGTTTTCAAGTGAGTAAACACCAACAACGATAATTTATTAACATCTTTTTCAAGTTATGTCACTGAATGCAACCAAAGCTTTTTGAATGAGAACAATCATTAACTGCATGAATTCTTGGAATAACATGAACCAAGAATTTTTTTAGCATCCATTTTTTGACATCTAATTTCTCTCTCATTTCGATCTAACTTCGATCAAAAGCGAACATAAAATCTTCGTTCTGGAGTGGCTCAATGATGTGTGAAAGTTATTAAAATTATCAACAAAAACCTTCGCTGCATCAATTCACAATCCATCATTAATTTTTTGACAAATTGATGAAAGATTACATTTACGTTGCAGATCACAGATTACTGACTTCTTTGTGAGTTGTTCAAATCACTAACCACTCAAACGGTTCGGTTCCACTCATCGAATCACCACAACAACACAAAAACAAACAATTCAATCGAAATAATGAATATGTGAGAGGCATCATATGTTACTGCTAAATTAATGATGGTCTCCAGTCTTCATCAATCTTCTTCATCACCAACAGCAAAAAACATTTCCCCATTGCCGTTACTGCACGCAAATGCACACGACTCTATTTGAATAGCTCAACACTTCCTTTCCCTTTCAATTCATTCATCAATTTGCACACGGTATTTGA